CATAAGCCATATGACTGTTGGAGGCACCAGGAGCAGATATGGACCTCAGGAACAAGTCTGGTGACTCTCCCAAGAGAGAGCTCATGCACATCCCTATTCAGCTGTTCTACTGCACAGTGTGAGCGTGTTCTACTGAAGTATTCTTTGCACTGTAGAAGTCTGAAGGGATAGGGGAGTCTGGCTATTTTAGCCATGGATGTCTGAAACCCTCTCTTCCAGGTATGCTGTTCTGTAATAAAGCATTTAAAGTGGCCGGTGCCCAATTTGTTGGTCCCATGTCCCTTGACTGGCTATGGAACTGCCCCTGAGAGTGAAATGTCAGCCTCTGGGAGGGGGGGGGGGGGCACTACATATCCTTCATAGCTCAATCCCCTGGTGGCTGGGAAGGATGTAGCACATGACTAGAACTGGTGGTCACAGCCCTGCGTCTTGTATATTGGGGACAACGCAGTCACCTGTGCCCCTCCTCCTCACTGACATCCTCCAATTCCTTAGGACCACCAGATACCACCAAGTGCCCCAGAGTTCATTTCCCACCCTTGGCTTATACTCGAGTCAATATTTTTTCCCAGTTTTTTGTGGTAAAATTAGGTACCTCGGCTTATACTCGAGTATATATGGTACTAACATGTATTTGAAGTGTGGGAAGAAACCTATGCAAGGCCAATGCAGATAAAAGCATAGGGGCAAGTGTACCCTGAATTTATGCATTCCTGGTTAAAGGGGCATGGCAACATTCAAGTATAAATGTGTATTCAGTCACTTCCCTGAAATTCAGCTCCAGAGCATAGCAAACAGCAAAAAAAAGGAGCCTAGAGGAGAGAAAGAATGAAAAGGGGGAACCATAATTACAGTGAATTGAAAGGTGTACTGCTGTTCATGGAAAGCATGAGCAGCATGTTGTGTGTGAGAGGAAGTCTGAATGTGTGATTGAATGAAGCTGAACTCAGGAATAAGCAAATATCTGAATACAAACATTTTATCCCTACTTGAATCTTTTTTCCAATCAAACGTTGCCTATGTGCAGGAGTTTCCTGTATCACTGAACTCCAGGATAGTTTCAAAAGCAGACTATTACTTCCTGCCCCTATGCATGTTACTATTTCTTTTTTTTCAAACCTATCTAGTTTTGGAGTAAATGATTCTTGTAAAGTTTGGGATATTCTCACTTTAACCAGTTGACATCCGCGGTGTTAAACCCCCTTCCCATCCAGGCCATTTTGGGGGGGGGCTCCGAAATTCACGCCATACAACCGATCAGCGGCTATAGAGCCGCTGATCGGTTGTATGTGAAACAGCCGTTAACGGCTGTAGTAACAAGCGGGTCTTTCCTGCCCGGGGGCGCGCGCGAGCAGGAAAAAAATGCCGTCTGACGACGGCAACCCGCAGATAGGAGTCAGCCGTCCGTCCGTTTTTTTCTTAACGGGCGGATGGCAAGAGGTTAAAGTGAAAACAAACACAGTTAAAGCCAAGCATAGGGAGGAAGTAGCAATACAGTGCAAGTAATTTCCTACATATGCAAAACCACCTGAACAAACTAAAGTTCTAACCATGCAATGGGAATTCTGGTAGACAATGGGTGAAGGCAGCCTGTAGTGGTTGGACCTGTTGGATCCCTCCCACAGCTCTTCTCTCTGCACAAGCTATGTGCAACACAGTGATGTCACTACTACTTTTACAAAGTAACTAGGTTTAAAAAGACAATGAGGGGAATTGATCAAAACTGGAGCAGCTGTGCATGGCAACCTATCAGCATCCGTTTCATTTTCAAATCTTAACCCAACTGAAGATAGATGCCGATTGGTTGCCATGGGCAACTACTCCAGTTTTGATCAATTCCCCCTAATGAGTGCACACAAAGTGGATTTATATCCTTTGTGGTGACTGAGGAATGTATTTAAATGAATATTGTGTCGAAATTTAGCTTTAAAAAGGTCATGTACAGAAGTATGGCCTTTACTATTAATAAAACAATTTGTAACCTTTTACGAAAAAATATTAAATATGCACAATGACCACTAAATTGCAAGAAGAAAATAAGGGTTTTAAGGCTCTAATCATTAATATTTGTTTAAAGCTCTCAAGTAGCACCTCAGGTCTAAACTAGTAAAGCATCATATAAAATAATGTGGCATTGCTTCAAGGGCAAAGGCTTTGATGACCTTTAAATGTTTCCGAAGGCTTAGGAAGATACATGCACTGTACTGATTGGTAATGTTTGTCTTTAACTTAATAAATTTACATTTCTTTACAAGGCATTGAACTCTATAGTTGGGAGCCTGGCATTTTGTTGACTTGGTTACGCATTCATTGGAGTCAATCCTATTTTGCTCAACATATTGAGCATACAGTTTAACTCTAGTAACCACAGCTGTGGCTTAATTAACGACCTCAATAAATCCTACTTAGGAACCAGAGACAGCAAAAGAATTATGCAAATTTGCCATCACCATGTATAACATTCTTTCTTCAGATGGGGAAAGAATGCTACTTCCACTTTTGCCATTCTCATAAAAGTGAATTGGATGGGGAGAATGAAAGACGACCAATATCTTATTTTAGTGGTTCATTTTAGTGTTTTATTCCAAAACATAAATCAGGACAGACATTTAAAGAACATAAAAAGACAATTAAAACTATTATTTTTTTTACAAATATTAACAAAATTGTTTGCTCATAATTACCAAACGATTCATGCCCTACAGTTGTACAAATGTACAGATATATAGTACAGAAGAGACCTTTATAAACACCTGATGTTCAATTTTTAGCAGGTAACAGTTATAACTTGCAGCTTGACAGGATGTCTTCCACTAGTCTCTTGTAAACCCAGGCATCACCTTTAAGACGCTGCCTTCTAATGCCCACTACATCTGGTTTGCTCAACTGGCACACCTCTAGTTCGAATTGCATGGTCACTTTTCCAAAATCAGACTGGGTTTTGCATTTCAGGGTATACCTGTAGAACATTATAAATTAGATAAATTAGAAATATTTAACATTTTTCTCACTATGTAGTAAAAGCAGGACTGCCTAAGCTTTTATAACTACATGTTAATTTGTTTTTGTGAGCCCTCATCAATTGGACTGTACTAAATATATATTCTTGCACTGCTTTGCTGTATAATTTTTAGCTTAAAAATTTGAAAGGTAATCCAGATAGATCACGAAATTAGAGCAGTTTGCCTGCTTTCGCCCACATTTTTAAAATAAAGCTTGTGCATTAATATAGGTTTTAAAACAAAAAAACCCTACTATAAAATTAACTTTCTACCATTATAATTTCCTTCCAGCAGGGAGGCTACAATCTACCAATGTCTATACCAAATATACTAGAAATGTAAAATTGAGAAATGTTATAGTTTAAAAAAGGAAAACTATGGTGTCAGGGCTTTTCCCCATAGTTCTCCTAAGGGGTCAGGGAAGAACACAAACTAGCGTCTTCCCGTGACCCAAAGCTCAGTATACCACGAGCTACAGCTCGCGGTATAATGAGACGCCACAGCCGGGACGGATCCCGACAATACTGTCTGGATCCACCCAGCTGCGGGATTGACAGCTGGCTCTGCCTATCCAGAGGCAGAGCCAGCTGTGCCCGCCCCCTCCCCCCCCCCGGCTCGCCAGCAACCGTTTGGCGGCTTCCCCCCCCCCCCCGTTCCGCCAGTCAGCGTTTGGAGGATCGGACGGGGGAGGAATCCCTGCCGGGAGCGACAGTCACGCCTCTCTGCAGGGATAGATCGAGGAGTGAGCGAGTGACGGTATGTGTTCACTCACTTCCCGATCTACTGAGCCGACCTGTGAAAGTTTGTCTCAGATTATGAGGATGGGTGAAAATCACTTGCCTCATAATTCCTTTAATTTCAAAACATTTCTCATTAATCTCACCGAGGACACTACATTTTATAAAACCCTTTATAAAAAAATAGATAAAATCTAATTTCATTTATGTACAAAAAAAAAAACCTACTGCAAGCTCAGTGATTGTACAGCACTTACCCCTTCTGGACATAATCCACGTTCTTCAGTGGAAGAACTCTAGTTAACTCATTTAGCATATGGTCAGGATTGAGTAAATTTGTCATCGTCACATTATAATGGGCCTGCGAAACAAAAAAAAAAGGACACATATGTTTGCATTGTTCTGCGGCTTTTAAATAAGTACTAGCCTGTGACAACAGTGCTGCCAAAGAGCAAAGTGGAGAGGTGTTGCAGGCAAAATGCCAGAAAGCAATTGTCAATCCTAGAAAAAGTGAAGACACACATCGTGTCCCTATACGAACTAAAAGGAGGAGAGGGGGAACAGAGATGCAACCATAGTGCTGGGGTCTGGTGCTTACAGGTGGAGGGGCCAGGAAGTACAGTGAGAGCTGGACTTCCTCCATCATATAAACTAAATGATTTGCAGGACAGAAGTATGCCTGCATGACAGTGTGATCCCCTTGAGCAACGAGAACATCTACTTGCTTGAAACCTGAAAAGATAATCCTGCCCTAGGTTATTTTAACTTTGATATTGAGAATTTTTTTCCTTGGCTCTGGACCTAACCCCTGCTTTTTCAATAATCCCAGAAGAGTGAACGAATTTCAGGAGGTTTTTAGTTGGTGGGGCAGATAGGTTCAGTTTAAAACCTAAGCAATATATAAAAAAAAAAAACTTTAGGCCACACCTGAACGTTTTGTAGTGCGTTCAACGCTCGACGAACGCTCTACAAAACGCTCAAACATCTAAATCCCATTGTATTCAATGGGTCTGGCTCACACCTTGCCGTATTTCAGCCCGTCCGAACGCGATACAAAACGGCCTACGCCTAAAGAAGTACATGTTTTGGTCTCGCGTTTCCATTGGGATACAGCCCAGTAGCCCTCGGAAACGGGAGTTTGTCGCACGTTTTTTAACCGCAAATCGCGGTAAAACGCACGACGCAAAACGCGCGACAAACGCGCATATTCAATACGCCTAGGTGTGAACCCAGCCTTAAACCTCCGGGACAGCAGCAAGCCAATCGAATGTGCAGGTTACACTTCTGGATAAATAGTGCACCAAAAGGCTATGCAGTCAAGAGGCCCCAGTACATAACCTGCGCAGCTTTTAAAAATGTGGAAAAAAATAAAATGACATGCGTGAAGACCATTAGCACCATCCAAAAGCCTGTGCGGAACCCCCCCC